GGCTAAAAAGTGATTTTGCGTATTTAATTTAGTTTGTGAAATTTGATTTTTATAAAAAGCTCCAAAAATCGATCGGTTTAAAGAATAATACAGTAAAAAGGAGTAGTTTGCAGAAAATATATAAAATAATAGATCTGAAAACATACTAAGTTGATTATATCTTTTAGTTGGTCTAGAAATGGCCATAAATTATTAAGTGCATCGACAGATAATAATGTTTGTATATGGGACATTTTGTCTGGAGAATGTGATCAGAAATATAGGTTTCCCTCTCCAATATTGAAAGTACAGTTTCATCCAAGAAATCTCAATAAGTTTTTGGTATGTCCAATGCGACATGCTGCTGTCATGGTTGATATTGAAGGAACACATAGAGTTATACCACTGGATGAAGATGTATGTAATGTTATATGTATAATGTATATCGTTCGAGAAATTTATTTCAAGTATTTCCAGTGTTAACTAGAATATTAACTAAAATTATGACATAAGAGAAAATACAGATAATAAGATAAAAATTTGTAATATTACAATATTATAATATATAATGTCTAATTTCAGAGTGATTTAAATATAGTGGCATCGTTTGATCGACGTGGAGATTATGTATATACAGGAAATGCACGTGGTAGAGTTTTAGTTCTTGACGCTGAGACATTAACTGTAAAAGCTTCTTATAAAATAACGCAAGGCACTGCTAGCAATACAGCAGTAAAAAGTATAGAGTTTGCACGACGAGGCTCTTGTTTTCTAGTTAATACTGCTGACAGAGTGATTCGTGTATATGATAGTACTGAAATATTAGCATGTGGCAAAGATGGTGAACCTGAACCAATTCAAAAACTGCAAGATCTTGTAAATAAAACAATGTGGAAGAAATGTTGCTTCTCGGGCGATGGAGAGTATGTATGCGCTGGATCAGCGAGACAACATGCGTTGTATGTGTGGGAGAAAAGCATTGGAAATTTGGTGAAAATTTTACATGGAACGAAAGGCGAACTTTTACTCGATGTTGTGGTAAGGCAACTAAATATATAATTAACAAAATTCTTTGATTCGCTATGAAATATAACACAATTGTTACCACTTGTGATGCATCGTCTCGCATTTTTCTTCCTATCACAGTGGCATCCAGTGAGACCAATAATTGCATCCATATCATCGGGCGTAGTGTCTATTTGGGCACAAAATCAGGTAGAGAATTGGTCTGCGTTTGCACCGGATTTCAAAGAATTGGATGAAAATGTTGAATATGAGGAAAGGGAAAGTGAATTTGATTTGAGCGACGAAGATAAATCTGTTGTACAAGGGGAAGAGGCTCAGGATGAAGAAATAGAAGTTGATGTTGCGTCAATTGACAGAGTTGCTGCTTTTTGCAGTTCTGATGAGGAAACCGAAGATATTGGCTCTCTTCAATTTCTACCTATATCTCCGGATGTAGAAGATTCGGAGGATAATCAAGTGATACCACACGAACCACCAATGAAGAAACATCGTTCACACGATATAGATTTACAAGGAGCACCGATTGATGGTAGGATATGTATTATTTATATGTTCATTATTATGTATTAAAATTATGTTTATAAAAATCAATTGGTTGCTGATTATAATGATATTCTAATAAATTGAACTCATATGACTTACAGAAACTCATCCCTTGCTAAGCAAAGGAAAAGATAAACCAACTACAAAGAAAGGAAGACCAAGATTAGAACATAAAAAGGGAAAATAATTTAGTATATACATATATGAGTGAGAGAGAAAGAGAGAGAGAGAGAAAGAAAAGAGAGAAAGGGAGAGTAAGAGTAAGAGTGTCAGACATTAATAATAAAATTATATATCATATAGAAGACAAAAAAGAAATCTTAATAATTTTCGTCTATAAACTGATAATTTATTAGCATTTATAACCATTCTTTACTAACATATTAATATTACTGATTGCATTTTTCACAAAATAATTAAATATATTGTCTAAGTAATATTTTTATATTTATATCTATGAAATTTGTAATGTATTACTTTTTCGCTTGTATCAATATGCCTCGATTGTCAATTTCTCTAGACTTGTCAGGAACAAGCATTTCCCCTATTCTGAGATTTTCCCTTGATCCCTATCCTTGTTTAGTAATATGTATGTACATATGTAGAATAACAATGCTGGTTCCATTTTTTTTTTTTTTTTTTTTCAATTCTTCCTTTCTTATTCTAGCATATTCACATAAGTCATGTAGCAAATGCGAATAGGAAGAATAGAGAATGGAAAAAATTAAAAATTTTTTTAAAGGCGAACAGCTGACATCATGACAATACAAATAAAAAAACTAAGAATAGAAAAAGTCGATTTGTATGTGCAAAATATATTCTCATAAGAACACAAACTTTCTACATTGTTCGAGTCTCTCGATGCTCGGTATTCGATGCGTTACGAGTAACTACGAATATCTACGAGCTTGTCTCGTTTGATTTCGTTATTGGGACCGGAACGAAGCCGGTTCGTTGAACCAATACGTTGTTGGCGCGTGGAGATCTGCATGTGTTATTTGCAGGCTACGAAGATACGAAGTGTCTAGTTTCGCAGAATAAACGGACGAAATAATTGAGTAATTAATTTGATAGACAGGAAAATATACAGACAGGTGCATCAACGTCGTAATTCTTACCATTGCGTATCATGATTCGGTCCGATTTTATTCTCGTCCTCGTTATTGCATTGGTTTTACATATTACCGTCGGCGATGATTGCAAGGGATGTGTACCTTTGGATTCTTATTCATTCGACAAGGTAACGAAAATATGAAAAATTCAAAATCTTGAGCAATAGACTAATTATCACGATTCTTATATGATGAACAAAATTCAATAAGAATAAAACTTAATTAATTAATTATTTACGAAATTTTCTTTTCTATGAAATTTAATAAAAATATTTATCAGCAAAATCGAATTTATAAAAGAAACTATTAATATACTAAATGTTATAGAAAACTTTGTTTTACAATTTGATAACCTTGCAATGTAAAATTTGCAATTTTTATGTATCTATGCATTTTTTCTGAAAAAAAATGCTTTTTTTTTAAATATCCGAGGAAAATATGCTAATATAACGATTGATAGATATGAATAGTGTTCGATTGATTTTCACTATTTTCAGCTATAGTTACTATAGTTACTAAGCTGTCAGTCACGTTAGCAGATTCATCCATTATATGTACTATGTTATAACCATTTTTGATTTATGACAGATACTGACATACTGATTCTATTAAATCTTACCAAATGAACTGAATATTGATATGTATATTTCTTTAATCTTTAATATAAAATTTATACATCATTTTAAGTAATTATGTGCAATGAATTATGATTGTTGATATTGTAGATCATAGATATTACAGATAGAATGCAAATTAATAAAATCAAATTTTTCTATTCTCTAAAATTGAGTTGATATTTCTTTCTACAATATAATTTTATATATACATATAATTTTATAATTACATGAAAAAAATGATTATATTTATTTTCAATATAAGAAATATATAAAAATGTTGATATACAATGCAAAATGTTTTAGGACTATATTACTTGCGATAGTATGTTGTATGCATATATATTGTTTTCTAATATTTTTGTTGAATTTCTTATACTGAATTATTTTTTTTAAATAAAACATGTGCTCCTAGTGATACTTTCATGTACCATGTAAGAGAAATCAATTCAATTATCAGCATTCTTGTTCACTTTTATAATTTTGTAAGTTCTGACAGTTACACATGTCTGTCAAAAACATTTTCATGTAGGTCATTCCCAGGTTCAAGGCGGTACTTGTTAAATTTGATGTCGCATTTCCATATGGTGGCAAACACGAGCAATATGCAACTGTAGCAGCCGATACTAAGGATTCACAGGATCTTTTGATAGCCACAGTAGGTGTCAAAGATTTTGGCAATAAGGATAATTCTGATCTAGCGCAACGCTACAGCATCAAAAAGGATGACTTCCCAGTAGTATTATTATTCGTACAAGGCAAATCAGAACCAATCAGATTCATTCCCGAGAGAGATTCTGATTTTACGGGTGAATACTTGAAACGATTTATCAGATCTAAATCCAGAGTGTACCTGGGCTTATCGGGATGCGTAGAACGATTGGATAAGCTAGCCGAAGAATTCAAAGCCGCGGGAGGGCAAAAAAGACAGGTGACAACTTGAAAATAATCAACAAATCTTGTTGAACATATATTTCATTGAATTCTGCTAAAATTACTGTCAATTTCATAAATAACATTTGCTTTATTCGACTTTCCTTGAAGCAAAAATTGAAACAATTCCAAACTTAATTATTATAAGACTAAATTTCCTCCATATGAAGCACATTTACTTTATTCTTTTTCTAGGAGATATTGAAGAAGGCAAGAATTTTTGAAGAGACTCTACCAGAAGAGCAGCGAGAGGCAGCAAGAATTTATGTAAAAACTATGGAGAAGATCTTGGAGCGGGGAGATATATTTGTACAAACAGAAGAAACGCGAGTACAAGGACTTCTTTATAGAGGAAAATTGTCTGATCAAAAAAACGTACGATGGAAGAGAGACGAAATATCTTGCAATCTTTTTCAGCAAGAGATGAACTATAGAGAATTTGAATTATTAATAACAGCCTAAGTAACATCTACAAAATTTTAGTCCGAGAGTCGATTATTACGCTCTCTTTTGAATTATTTTGTACACTCAATTTTAAATTTTATATAAATGGCGATAGGGATAACATCTGTACGAGATATATTAAATGTTCTATTTACAAAGTATCACAATACTTTAATTACTTTACATTCCTTAATCTATCTTAATTTTTTTGTAACGTGCTTTATTCTTATTCTGTATGTAAATTACTAAATGTAATGTTGTTTGTGTGCTATTTAATACAAGGATTATTGTTATTTTGTTTTAAATATTTCGTTCTTCTATATATAATATAGTTCTTCTATATATAAGTATAGAGCAAATTAGTCGATAAGTGTATAAAAAAAATCTTACGATTCTTATATTAAAAAAAAATACATATCATTTGTCAACTTGATTATTTAATAAATTTACCGTACATATATTTGATAAATGAGATGGTATTTGATTGGGAGTCGAACTAATTTTCGTCTCTCACGACTTGACGTAACGGATTTATTAATAATAGCTGTCGAATGAAAATAAAAGTTGTTCAATTCTTATTAAATTAATTTGATAAATTAATTGATAATTTGATAGACATAGCTCATATATAATCATTAATTGATAATTTGATAGACATTTTTGGAGCATATAATTTAAAAATTGAAAAATTTCAAAAATTATATTACGTTCATGTGAGCTGGGAATATGTTACATAAATTTAATATGCTTGATTAATGTATTTTATGCATGAAATGACAATATTGAAATTAAAATTGATTAAAAATCTTTCTAAGGAAACAGAGACAGATATGGCTTAAGATGTTATGTCGCAAAATAAGGAATAATCAATTTTATATTGATGTATATGCGTGCGAATGCATACATGTCACGCGTGTGCATTCTTTCTCTTTACCTCTCTCAATGCATCATTCATTTTCCTTAAGGAAAATATAACGTGCAATCATTAATCATAAAAAAATCATGTGATACAATGCACACATCATTTTTGTGAAATAATGAGCAAATAAAATGCGGAAAGTTTTTCGTTCGTACAAGTGTCGTTGTATTTATTTACTCGTTTTCTGACAGTCGACATACATCCCTCACATACATTCCTTTCATTACAAATGTAATATGAATTTAAAATCCCAGTTTTTAAAAAAATCACAGATAACATGTTCATATAAATATAGTTTTAGCGCGTAACTTTGAAATTTAATCAACTTTCTCATACTATTATTGCTAAAAATTCATCTATGCATTTAATGTTCGAATAATAAAACATTGTAAAATATGTGTTTGCGCATATAATATCGGAATGTGCCTTTTAATAAACTCTGTATTATCTTATTTATGTTCCAGTATATGTATATGTATACATACATCTGTATATGCCCATATATAATCATTACTTCTCACCTTCATTTTTCACTTTTAGTTTTGCAATGTCATTAATTATTTTTTCCTCATTCGTTACTATATCTTTTTCCTCCATTGTCTTCTTTTCAATATCCTTGTGCTGAGAAACCAGGTCATAGTCTTCAGTCCGTTTAATTGATCTTGTTTGGTCCTCATTATCAGTACTTTCGCTGTAACTTACATCGCTACTAGATTCGCTGTCACTTTCACTATGCTTTTGTTCAGAATTGCTTTTGCCAGCATAAATTTCACATTCAGATCCTACAATCTTCTTAGCCTTTTCAAATGTTTCCTTCCACATGGATGCATCTATAGTAAACAAATCAAGTAATGTAAAATTATTGCATCATTATTGCACGTGGGTGTGTGTGTGTGTGTGTGTGTGTGTGTGTGTACGCACGCGCGCGCGTGTGTACATGTATAAAATTTAGTGTAATAGTCCTTAGAACTTACTTTCGGCATTTGCAAAACGTATTGCAAGTAATTCTGATTTGAGTTGTTCATCTGCATAATCGGCAAGAACACTCCAAACCCATGCTCTATCACTGCCACAATTTGGTTTCAATTCCATCCATGGAGTAATAAAATGATTGGCACAGATCTTGAGAGTTTTATCTCTGCGCATAACTACTCTGACTGTATTTTTTGTTTTGTGTCTCAGCAATTTGACTTCCCCTGTACCACGTTCTTTCCATTCCGCAGGATTACTTGATGTATCGTAACGATACAATTTTGCCCGTCTAGAAAGCATAAAAACAAATCATGTATGTTATATTCTTAAAAATTCTTAAAATCAATATTCTTAATGAGTTATTCAGTATAATAACTCACAATTTTAGCATCTCTATCTCATCTTCTTCATTATTGGACACTTCTATCAAGGGTAATGAAATTATAGGTTCAAAATGTACATCGTTTTCAACATTCTCTTCGTCATTGTCATGAGATTCACAATTGGCACCTTTTACGTCAATATGATCTCCGTTTAGCTTAAAAAAGAAAGAAGGTTATGTTTTCTTTTTTCAAAACGTTGTGGTCTAAAAACGCTCAAAAAATAAATTTTGCTTGAAAATTAGAAACACGTTCGTTTTCAAATATGCATAAAGCTAGAGCGAGAAGAAAAAGGGAAGTATGAGTATGTAACAAAACTGAGATTAAGAATAAACTTATGCTATTGAAAGAGACATTATATCTTGAATGCATTTATGTTTCTTCTGAAAGAATATAACATAACCTATTATCCATGACACCATCGTGATCCGCACAATTTCATTGATCTGCGTAATTTAACTTGAATTGGAAAGATGAAAGAGGAATGCGAAAATTTTGTTAAAGTTTATATACCACGTTCTCTGGCATCTTCTATCAATCCGTTGGCAAGAAAACTAGAAATTGACACGATCACCAATAACGCGTACTTCCGTCTTGCGTCGTTGGGCTCCGTATATAAATCGTACGTTGTATACAAATCTTTATCGAAATTTGTAGTTTTGTGCTTTGTATGTATGTACGTATGTATCGTTTAGTAGAGCTTTGCAATAATCAGTCGACAGTCGATTTATTTTTATCGATTTTCTTTCGAGAGATCGGTTTCTCTACCATAGATGTACTAATAGGGCCGACACAAGCATGGTGTAAAAAAACAAGGTATGCTCTTGCGCATGAAAATGGGGATGGACCAATAAGGATGGTGGAACAAGTATTAATGTATCAGCCAATCAGCGTTTTTCTCGCGATATTCAAAATGTAGCATAAATAATGAAAGGACAATTAATGAATTTATTTAATTGAGAACTACTATTGTGATTTTTATTATTAATAATTATTAAATTCTCTGTTACCGAGTTATAATTATTAAATTCTCTATTATCGAGTCATATGTCACGTAATCACAAATTGTTTATTTTACTATTATTTCCCAATATGGAAGACGACTCGTTCCAACGCCATATCTGCGCAGATCGGATCCAAATTGAGTCTACCTTACGCACACCTTGTCTCCTTACACCATGAATACAAGAATGTTTACGATACTCAAATTCGAATTAGGATCGAAAATATGATAGGCATAACCACCTAATACATGTTTCATGACTATCCAATGTTATACTCATAGATATAGTATAGATAGACCGAGCATGCTGGGGATCAATCATGTAACTTTATGTGAAATTTTTCACTTTTCATTTTTCACTTTTTACTTTCCATTTTTCACACTTTGATATTGCACGTGAAACTTTTCACGTACAGCAATTATGTAGCTTGGATACGTGGAAAGTGAAATCATGAAACATAGTTTCATAGGTTTTATAGCTAATGAAAATTATTTTATTGGTACAATATTATATACATCTTTTAATAATCATTATATATGTACTACGTACACTTAATCCTAAGTGTCGGTCCACAATAGGTGATTTAAGCTTTAAGAAGTAAGAAATTGACCAATTATAATCGAATATGAAAAGAATAATCGACTATGATTGGTCAATTTCTTATGAAAAGATTAAGTATTTAAAGATTAAATACTTATTGTGGACCGACACTAACGCAGCCCTAATCTTCTCTAATTCCGAAGTATATTTATTAATTCCCTAGATTTCCGTCTTTCCACCAAGGTAAATGGCGAAAAAGTTCACGTGAAAAATTTCACATTTTCACATTTGAGAGAGTTACATGATCTCGCAAAATCGTACATGACGCGTGAACTTTTCACTTTTCATGTTTCCGCCCTAAGGGAAAAGTTACATGTTGACCCCCTGGTATATAGTATGCTCGGTTTATCTGTATTATGTCTATGATTGTACTGCTACTGAGGTTGCGTTTCGATATTCATTGCTAGTACTGAAAATATATAATTCAGGTCACGTATATTATAGAATTTTAGTCCTGGCAGTGAATTTTGAAACACAGTCAGAGTTTTGTGATCAAAAAAAGCTGTAGTGACTGCGTGGTGACGCATGACGCATGTCCGAGAGATCGAACGGATCGAGAAAGTCTCGTATGATTATCGAGCAACGGGGAAGGAAGTTGGAAAGGAGTGGCGAGGAAGAATCGAGAGGGTAGGAGAGTAGAGGAGGGACGAAAGAGATTAGAGTACGCGTTATTCGGGCGGCCATTGCGAGTAACTTGTACGAAACCGTGATCGTAATCCCGTGTCGTGCGGCACACAAACGAGATATTCCGGTGGATTAGTGGTCATTCTTGTTAGCAAGGTGCCCCGTGTGAAGCTCGGGACGCATACGAGACTCCGGCCCGATGGCTGAGACCGACAAGTTGAACATCGATAATATTATAGCTCGACTCTTGGAAGGTAAAACTAGTCGATCGTCGTACTCTGCTTCTCATGATGAAGGAGAGAAAGGGGGAATGGCAGCGGCGGCGTGGCGTGGCATAGCGTGATGTGATGTGATGTGTGTGGTGTGGTGCGGTGCG